ATTGAGCATCCTTATAAGCAGTATTTTGAACTCAGTATCTGTTAGGTTGCTTAATTCCATTTCGCTTAGTTCTTTTATTGGGGTTTTGTTCTGTTCTTTCATTTGGGACCTGTTTCTTTGTCTCCTCATTTTGGCTGCCTCCCTGTGTTTGTTTCAGTGTATTACTTAATGAGAGGTATGGGGCTCGCTGAGACCAGATGCTGCTCGTTTGAAAGAATTTAGGAAAAACCTGAAGCAGGATCCAAGACATACCAATCCTATGGTTAAGCAAGTGGCAACAGCTTGGGTGGGCTTGAAAGTTGGGCGGGGTGGGGCGGGGCCTCAGGGAGTCACCAGGGCGGGGCCTCCAGTGTGAGCCAGGTTGCTGGAGTCCTAGATATGGTAACTGTCTGCCCCCCGGGAAGGGCTCACCAAAGGACCAAAGGCCTCTTACAGCATGTTTGTCCTGGAGAAAGCCCCCTCTCCAGTGCCAAACGGCTCAGTTCTTTCCTGTGTGTCTCTGGTACCCCTCGAGCTGCCTCCCCTCCAAGCTTAGAGGGAGAGAGTCCGATAAGTCCGTGCGCGGGCCCTTTAAGGAGCTGCCTGGGGCTCCAGCCGCTTCAGCCTCCCTGAGCCTCAGTTCCCACTGGTTTTTCCAGCCAGAAGTTATGGAGACTTCTCTTCCTGGCACTGGAACCCTGAGTGGGGCACCTGGTGTGGGACGGGGACCCCTCCGTCCTCAGGAAGGACCTTCCCAACCGAGGTGTCCTCCTGATTTTTATCCGCCACACTTGGGTGTGGGACCAGCCCGTCGCGCCGCCGCCGCCGCTGCCGCTGCCGCTGCCACTGCCACTGCCACCGCTGCCCCTCGCGCCTCCGCCCCTCCTACCAGTCTCCATGTGGCTGCTGCTTTAATTTCGTAGTTATAGGACTTCCATTCAGCTTGATTTCAGGTGTTTTTGAATGATGGTTGTTCTGTAGTTTAGTTGTAACTTGGATGTGGTTGTGGGAGGACGCGATACGATGTTTACCTACCCGCCATCTTGACCAGAAGTCTCTAGGAATAAACTTAACCAAAGAAGTAAAGAACCTATTCTCAGAAAACTACAGGACATTGAAAAAAGAAATAGAGGAAGATATAAAAAAGTAGAAGCAGCCCTGGCCAGTTTGGCTCAGCGGTTGGAGCGTTGGCCTGCGGTACAGAGAAACCCAGGTTCGGTTCCCGCTAAGGGCACATACCTCAGTTGCAGTTTGTCCCCGGCCCTGGTTGGGTCGTGCGGGTGGCAGCCACTCGATGTGTCCCTTTCACGTCAATGTTTCTCTCTCTCTCTCTCTTCCTCTCTCTCCCTCCCACTTTGTCTGAACAAAATATGGAAAAATGTTTTCAGGTGAGGATAAAAAAAAAAGTGAAAACACATAGTTCATGGATTGGAAGAATTAACATCATTAAAATGTCCATATTACCCAAAGCAATCTATAGATTCAATGCAATTCCCATTAAAATACCAACGACATATTTCATGGAATTAGAATAAATACTCCAAAAGTTTATATGAACTAAAAAAGACCCTGAATAGCCACAGCAATCTTGAAATATAAGAACAAAGTAGGAGGGATCACAATGCCAGATATCAGATTATACTACAAAGCCATAGTAATCAAATATGGCTTTGGCCCACAACCTGGTACTGGCACAAGAACAGGCATATAGATGAATAAAACAGAATAGAGAACCCAGAAATTGACCCAAGACATTATGCTCAATTAATATTTGACAAAGGTGGCAAAAGCATACAATGGAGTAAAGACAGCCTCTTTAACAAATGGTGTTGGGGAAATTGGACAGCTACATGCAAAAAAATTAAACTAGACCACCAACTTACACCATACACAAGAATAAACTCAAAATGGATAAAAGACTTAAATGTGACTCGTGAATCCATAAAAATTCTACAAGAAAATGCAGACAACAAAATTTCAGACATCATACACAGAATTTTCATTGATACAACACCTAAGGCAAGAGAAACAAAGGAAAAAATTAATAAATGGGACTAGATCAAACTCAAAAGCTTCTACACAGCAAAAGAAACAAGCATCAAAATGGAAAAGGGAACCCACTGTATGGGAGAGCATAACTGCCAATGATACATCAGATAAGGGGCTAATTTCCAAAGTACATAGAGTACTCATACAACTCAACAAAAGGAAGACAAAGAATCCAATTTAAAAATGGGCATAGACAACAATGCTGGGGGGGGCAGGATCAGGAGGGGGGTGTCAATGGGGGGAAAAGGAGAAACATCTATAACAAAAATAAATTAATAAAAATTGCAAAAAAATTGAGTATCAAAAGTAATGATAGCCCTGGCCGGTTTGGCTCAGCGGTTAGAGCATCGGCCTGCAGTCCAGAGAAACCCGGGTTCGGTTCCCGCTAAGGGCATGTACCTCGGTTGAAGTTTGTCCCCGGCCCTGGTTGGTCCTGCGGGAGGCAGCCACTCGATGTGTCCCTTTCACATCGATGTTTCTCTCTCTCTCTCTCTCCCTCCTGCTCTATCTGAACAAAGAATGAAAAAGTGTCCTTGGGTGAGGATAAAAAAAAAAAAAAGTAATGATAACAAGAACATACTGAATTTTTTAAAATAATTCATGAGTCTAAAGTCACACTTTTTTTTCTCTCTCTTTTTCTTTATTGATTTTAGTGAGAGAGGAAGGAAGAGGAAGAGAGAGATAGAAACATCGATGAGAGAGAACATCAGTTGGCCATATCCTGCATGACCCCAACTGGGGATGTGGCCCACAACCTGGGCATGCACCTTGATCGGGAATCAAACCAGCGACCTCTTGGTGCATGGGTTGATGCTCGACCACTGAGCCACACCAGCCGGGCAACACTCTTATATTTGAAAAGAGAGAGGAAGGAAAAAAGAAAGCTCTTCTTTGTAGAAGGTGCTAGTTGTAAATGTAAACAGAGTAAAAGAATTAAAAGACTCTCCCAATTTTACAATCATTAAGGAAATAGCTGATTCAGGCATGGATCGTCAATAGATGCTAAACCTTTCACTGGGAGAAAGATTGCTGGGTGAAAGAGTCACAGAGTCTCAAAGTACTAGTCCAGAGATGACTTAATTACAGAAGGAAACAGGCTCTTACACTGTGTAGAAAGCTAGCAGATGCCACCTTAACCAGATGGTCAAACTAAACCTCATCAATAATGGGATAAATGGATATTATAGCGTCCCAATGTGATTCAGAGAGATTGGCACAGCATCACCTGTGTAGTATTCCTGTCCCAAAATGTTTAACCTGAATCTAATCATAAGGAACAATCAGAGAAATCCAAATTGTGAAGCATTCTAAAACATACACTGACCTGGACTGTTAACAAAAAAATAAATAAATAAATAAATAAAGCCTACATCCCTAAGGGCAAAAATAATTATAAAGAAATAAGGGATTGTCTAAACTAATGGAAACTAAGGTTACATGGCAATGAAAACTAACAGGTAAACCTTGATTAAGGAAAACACTATAAAGAACATCATTAGAATAACAAAGGAAACTTGAATATAGACTCTAAACTAGATAATATTATTGTGTCTATGTTATATTTCTAGGGTGTAATAATGGTACCGAGGTTATAGGACAATGTCCTTGTTGTTAGGAAATATGTGCTCAAGTGTTTAGGGATAAAGCATCATGATGTCACTTCAAATAGTCCATAAAATAAAAAATAATGAATGGATAGATATAGACAGAATCAAAGCAAATGTGACAAATGTTAACAACTGGTGAATCTGGGTGAAGCCATACAGCAACAAGTGTCCCTTTTAATATTTCTTCAACTTTGCCATGAAAGTTGAAACATATGAATAATGTCAGTCATAGGTGGGTTATAACACATTGAAAGAAAAGAATGCACAGGTCTAGGATGACATACAAAAGAAAGAAAGAGGAGGGAGGGAAAGTTGTAATAGTAGAAAGAATCACTGAATTTTTTTTAATTTATTTATTTTTTAATATATTTTTATTGATTTTCTAGAGGGAGAAGAAGAGAGAGAAACATGGATTGGTTGCCTTCTGCATGCCCCCTACTGGGGATCGAGCCTGCAACCTAGGCATGTGCCCTGACCAGGAACAGAACCAGGACCTCGAGTCCATCGGGATATCGCTCAGTCCACTGAACCATACCAACTGGGTTCACCAAATTTTTTTCAAATCACCATTTGCAACCCTTGTGTGAGAATTAATACAAGCAAGGACAATCAATGGCTGTTAATAGGAGAGTAACACAGTTTGAGTGCCGCCCCCCAAGATTATTTATTAATCACAACAGAGAAAAAGTAGTTCAATAATGAGAATTTCTGGCAGACCAAGAGACCAAACTTAGCATTTCTGATAATGGAACTAAAGGACATCATGCACCTACTGATGTGATATACACAGAAAGACACAAGATTATCTATGTAGTGCTGTTGTCAAAATGTTTACTTTGAAAATATTATGAAAAAAAACAACCTGACAAATCCAGATTGTGGGAAAATCTCTAAGACAAATGATAATGTCATGGAAGACAAAAATTGGTAGGGGACTCATCTAAATTAAAAGAGGCTTGGCCCAGGCTGGTATTGCTCAGCAGTTAGAGCGTCAGCCTGCAGTCCAGAGAGACCCCGGTTCAGTTCCCCCTAGGGGCACATACCTCGGTTGCAGTTTGTCCCTGGCCCTGGATGGGTCGTGTGGGTGGCAGCCACTCGATGTGTCCCTTTCACGTCGATGTTTTTCTCTCTCTCCCTCCCACTCTATCTGAACAAAAAATGGAAAAATGTCCCGAGTGAGGATAAAAATAAATAAAAGAGGCTTAAGTGACACACAATCAAATGCAATGAGTGATCCTTTAGTGAATCCTGGAATTTTAAATCACAGTTCTAAAGGACATTTTTAGGACAAGTAGAGAAATGTGAACACAGATTGCATAATAGATATCATTATCCAATATTAAATTTGTTAGGTGTTGTGGTTACCTAGTAGAATATCTTTGTTCTTAGGAGATACATGCTGAAGTATTTACAGGTACAGTGTCTTGTCTGCAACTTATTTTCAAATGGTTCTGAAAAAAAAGTAGATAGATAAAGCAAGTGTCACAATATATTAACAATTGATGAATCTAGGTAACATACCTTAGTATAGGTGTTCACTGCACTGTTTTTTTGTTTTTGTTTGTGTTTTTTTAGCATGTTTTATTGTTTTTTTAAGAAAGAGAAGAAAGAAGAGAGAAGCATCAATGTGAGAGAGATACAGTGATTGGCTGCCTCCTGCACATCCCTGCCCTGGGGATCAAGTCTGAATCCCAGCATGTGCCCTGACCAGAAATTGAACCAGGATTCGATTAATCCATGAGACAATGCTCAGTCCACTGAGCCACACCAGCCGGGCATTGCACAGTTCTTTAAACCTTTCTGTAGCTTTGAAATTTTTCAGATTAAATATTGAGGGGGGAAAATTACACACACACACACACACACACAGAGGGTAGGGTAAAAAAGTAGGTTTACAGTTGTGTGTATGTGAAACACCGAGCTTATTCTTGTATTATTATTTATTAATCATTGTATTATGTTCCATACAAATAACTGTAAACCTACTTTTGCCCCACCCTGTATATATTTGTATTTGGTAATATATACACAAAGAATCTCTAGCACAATATCAATAAAAAAATAACTGTGACTCCCTGGGGGACAGAGAAACCAAACAGATGTGCAGCAGGGGAGGAGGGATTGTTACTATGTATCTTTATACCATCTACCCAAGACACCATGAATTTTAAGATAGAGCATTAATTTTATTTATCAAAAGGAAACAAAAATACTGCCATCATGTCATTTTAAGATGCCAAAAATTTTAAGACACAGATATTAAAATGTTTTCAGAAATATCAAAATGTTCATCTTAGTACTGATGAATTTTGGGACATCTTCTCAAATTATGAATCATGTGAATGTACTTATTACCTGTTCAAAAAATAAATGGGGGGTTAGAGGGTGAGGCAGAAGAGGATGAGCTGGCAAAGAATGAGAAGCAGCAGCTAATGAGGCAGGAGGAAAACCAGAAGAGAGTAGAGTCTCTAAAGTCAGGAGCAAACAGTGAACAAATATGACAGCATGTTAAGAGCTGGGTTGAAAGTGTTTATTATACTCAGTAACATCAAGTCATCTGTGATCCCAGTGTGAATAATTTTGGTAGAGTGGCAGTGGGTGGCAGTCAAATTAGATCTATATTTGAACAAGCAAGCAGGTGTAGACAGCTCTTTGAAGGCTGCCTATGCCTAAGAAGAGAATAGAAAGATAAGGTACTAACTAGGTGGGATATGGGCTCCAGGAAGGACTAAGGCTGAGGGTTGTTTAAGATGGAAATGAGCTAGAGATGTGAATGATCCAGAGAAAAAGTTGCAATTACAATAGACAAAAGTTAACCCTGAAAAGAGAAGCAGCATGGGGTCCAGTGCAAGGAGGTAAGACAAGCCTCAATCCTAACAGGCAGGAAGGAGAACATGATGCAAGCAAATGCAGGCAGGCTTAAGGCCTTAAAAAGAAGAGTAAGAGTCCCATGTATCTGCTTCAATTTTCTCTGTAATACTGGAGATAGGCTGAAGTAGAGAGAGAGGAAGTCAGAGTACAGGACCCACCTAAGTCAATGAGCAATTACAACACTGCCTGAGAAGTGCTCTGGGAGAGCAAGTACAAAAAGCTGTGGGAACACAGAGGAGCACCTCTCTGATCTTTCCTGGAGGAACCAGGGAAATCTTCATACAACTGAATCCTGAAGGATGAGTAAAAGTTGGCTAGGGAAAAAGAGAATCAGGAAAGCAGGTGTGAAGATCAGGAGAGCAATAGCATGGTATATTCAAGGAACAGAAAGAAGTAGAACAAGGATGAAGCTCAAAGTGGAAGGAGGGACAGAAAAGCAAAAATAGGGCTAAGTGGGAGGAGCTAGGTCATCCTGGCCTTGAAGGCCATGGCCAGGATTTAAGCTTTATTCTCAGAGCCCTGCCAGCCACTGAAGGACTCTATTCTTCTTCATTTAAAAAACTACAGCCTTGCCCGGCTCAGTGGATTGGGCATTGTCCCGTGGATTGAGAGGTCACAGTTTGGTTCCCAGTCGGGGTACCTGTCCAGGTTGCGGGCTTGGTCCCCAGTGGGGAGGGGGAAGGGTACAGGAGACAGCCAATTGAAGTTTCTCTCTTACATCAATGTTTCTGTCTCTCTCTCCCTTCCTCTCTCTCTAAAAGATCAATGAAAAAAAAAAAAAAAAATATATATATATATACACACACACAGCCTTGAAATGTGTTTAATAAAATGAAAATACATTGCTTTTCAGCTATGTATAAAAATCTCAAGTTAAAAAAAAAATCAAAGTGCATAAAGTAGAAAATAAAAATTCTTTCAGAATCCACCTTTTCAGAGGCCAATCCTTTAACAGTTTGACCTTCAGGTTTTTGGTTGTTGTTTTTAATGTATATATGACAAAAATGAGATCATTTTATACATGCTGTTTTATAACCTGTTTTTTCCACTCAACAATATCTCATAAAAAGTTTTCATGTCAATTAATACAGTTAGTTATTTCCATTGTTTAATGACTGGTCAACCGAGTCAACAATGCCCATGGTTATGGAGCAGTCAGGTGTGACATGGCTGACTTGGCAATTAGGAGGTCTCAGCTTCAGGGCAGAAACCAGGCTGCCAAGAAATAAGAAAAACATGACCGAGAGAATGAAGGAACAAGTCTAGCAAACTAGTCTTTAAAAAAACTTGGCTGAAATTTTAATACACACACATAGAATATCAGTGACAACACTGAAACAAGTAGACATCTCTTGATAGTAAGATTAGAAGTTGTTTTCTTTCTTTTTATCTTTATATTCTAAGATTTCTACAATGACCATATATTATTTTTGTAATAAGACAAAGCCACTGATTTAAAGTCGCAGCAACACCCTGGCCGGTTTGGCTCAGCGGCAGAGTGTAGGCCTGCAGACCAGAGTTGCAGGTTCGATTCCGGCCAAGGGCACGTACCTCAGTTGTGGTTCGATTGCGGTTCATCTCCAGCTCTGGTCCGGGTCGTGCAGGAGGCAACCAGTCGATGTGTCCCTCTCACATTGATGTTTCTCTCTCTCTCTTTCTTTCTCTCCCTCCCACTCTATCTGAAGATAAATAGGAAAATATCATCCTCAGGTGAGGATTAAAAATAAAACTGCAGCAATTAGTTTTTCCAGATAAGAGTTGAGCTTATTCATAAGCTGATACAGTTAGAAGGGGAAACAGCTGATGAACATTGGCACCTTAGCAGACAGAGTAGGCATACTGGGATTCAAGAAGCGGGGAAACATGGGTGTGGTTCCACTTCTCCCACAAGCCCTCAACCACCCTTTCCAGGAAAAAGGGGTTTAGGGAAAGTAATCCAGGAGAAAAGTTTACATTTAAGCAGTAGGATGCTATACATCCCATTGCTTAAATTCTGAACCAGTTATTGAGCTAGTCACTCATTCTCATCAAATCTCTTCCTCAGTCTTTCATAAATGGAGGCTACTAGGAGGGACCCAACAAGCGCAGGACACAGGGCGGTATCAATCTACGTTCCTGCTTAAGACTTGGATACCCTTCCAAAGGGTGGGGGAGGAGCAACTGATGCCCTTCCCTAACAGGCTAAGCACACTGCTTCTATCAACTCTGCTGTCCCACAGCTCTAGGAAACCTTCAGAGACTCTAGGCTGTCAGCAGGGAAGGAATGCAGCCCCTAGAGGAAATGCTGTGGGGAAAGGGAGGTAGAGAGAGTGAGGAGAAAAAGAAAAAGGAGAACTAGGAGGGATGCTCTAAACTAGAACAAGCAGCTTCCTCAAGGGAGGTCAGTACTTAATCCTATTATTTCATCCCTAGAGAAAGGTGCTGGCAAAGAGATGCCCAGAGAGAGGAATTAACTTGTTCAGAGGTGGCTAGCCAGCTGAGGAAAGGACTCCATGGGTTTGCTAGACCTAAGAAGACCCTCTTTCTGTGGCCCATTCACTAGAGACACTCACTCACTCCTCTCTCAGCTCTGAGGACTTTGCCTTCAGGCTCACCAAACCCATATCAAATCTCAACTAGCAAGACTTGTGTAGCCCCATGCCCTGCCTAGTGTGACTGGTTTGGCTGAGCGTCATCCCATGCACCAAAAGGTCTCCAGTTGGATTCAGTGGATTCTTGTCAGGGCACATGCCTGGGTTGCTGGCTCAATCCCTAGTGGGGACATGCAGGGAGCAGCCCATTGATATTTCTCTCTCACACTGATGTTTCTCTATCTCCCTTTTCCTCTCTCTATAAAAACTAAATAAATAAAATATATTTTTTTAAAAGAAAAGACTTGTGTAGCCCCAAACAAAAGCATTTCCACCAGTAATGCCCCTGCAAGAACCATCTCCTTTCAGAGCCCTGCCTCTTGGGGGCAGAACCGGTAGGGCATAGGCTGCAAAATCTCCAGACTCTCCCACCCTAAGGGCTCATGTGGCTGGCCTCACAAGCAGGTTCCTCAACAGTTGTGCTTAATTCCCATCTCTATGCCTTGCCCATACCATTCCCCAGGAATGCCTTCCCTTGCCTTTAACCCATTCAAATCTCATCTCCTCCAGGAAGTCTCTTATTCACTTTCTCCTTGTACTCCTTGTGTCCAGGGAAAAGTCTGTCTGGCCCTCCCTAAACTCCCCATTCTAGAGCTGGGGCAATTCTCAATCTCTATTTGGTTCCCCCCAACCCCCAGACCAAGAGCTCCTGAAAGCAGGGGCAGGGACAGGTTCCCAAACACCTCACCCTCATCCTCATGACCGGCTCCTACCAGCGTTGAAATTAGCTACATGCGGCACACCTAACACACCACCTCAGCCCTGGTGGACCCCAGGTTCAAGCCAGTGTACCCATCCCCTCCGAAACCCTGAGGTGGCCCAGACCAGCCATCCAACGTTGGGTCGCCCCCCAGGAGGCAGAAGGGCAGGGGTAACAACTTGGGTCCACCTGCAGGGGCGCCTCTAGTGAGTAATGACCCAAAGGAGACCACAGTTACCCCGCCTCCAGTCGCCTCATCCTCTAATGAGTGAGTGCACCATCCCCAGGAAGAGGATGCCGGTTTCCAGGGAACTCCAGGTCGGGGGCTGGGGGAGGATGGAGGGCCCAAGGCCCAGGCTCCAGAATCCAGAGGTCTGACGTCACCCATGACACGGGTTCCCTCTGAGGGAGCTGAGAATGGTTTGAGGGCCAGAGGGCACCCGGAGCACTCTTCCCCCGCTCCAAATAGGGAAGGTGACCTGGACCCTCCACCTCTCCAACATCTCGGCCTGCCCCCTGCATCTAAAGGGGAAGCGTAGGGGGTACAAAGCTGGAGAAGGGGTGACTCTCACGCTGCGCTCAATTTCCCTGCAAAGCCTCCGCGGAGCCCTTAGGCCCGGACTCACCTGCTGCTGTCGCTCCGCTGCCCTAAGCTGCGCTGCACCTGGCGAAGCCGCGCAAAACCAGCTGCGAGCCGCTCTAAGGCTGTGAGCCGGGAGCGCGCGTGCTTGGAGCCAGTTCCTCGCTCGCCCGCACCGCCCCGGCCCTTAGCAGCTCTCGCGAGACTCACGCGCCACCTGTAAGGCTGTTCTCCCTGCTCTCGCGAGAAAGAAGACTAAGCAGTCCCCCGCACCTCACAGGAGCTATCCGAGGTCCTAAGTCCTGTCCCTGGCCCCATCAGGTGGCCGACAGCACCGCAGGGACAAAAGCAAGACGAAGATGTGAAGGAAGAGACCCAGAGATGGGAGCCTGGTACCAACAGCCAGAGCCTCAGCTTCCAAGTCTGTAAACTGGGGAAAATAACCTCCCATGCCAGTCCCAACGGCTTCTGGGATTTACCAGAAAGGAGGAGTGAGGAGTTTTGTGAGTAGGAGAGCAGGGTTACTGAGGAAGGTCCTTCAGATCCACAGGCCCAAAGTGACAGCAAGGGGAGGGAGGATGGGAGATCAGAGATGAGACATGAAGAGACCCAGAAGAGACAGAGAAAGACATGAGCACACAGATCTACGGAAAATTTAACATAGAAAGGCAAGAGAGCCGTGAACATCGAGGCATAGAAACACGGAGCAAGACGGGGATACAGAAACATGGAGAGATCAAGATTTGGAGGGGGGGAGGAGACATGGAAAGAGAGAAAGGAAAGGGAACACAATGAAAATTTTAAAAGATAAGAAATGGGGACAAGCAAGCTACACAAAGGAATAGAGAGAAGCTTAGAAAGAGAAAGAGCCAGAAAAAAAACGATGAAAGAGACTGTGATATGCATAGATGAACACCTAAAAAGAATAAAAACCAGCCTTGGCGGGTGTGGCTCAGTTGGTTGGAGCATTGTCCAGTACATTGGAAGATCAAGGGTTCCATTTCGATCAGGGCACATACCTGGGTTGTGGGTTTGATACCTGGTCCGTGTGTCCGTGTGTGTGCAAGAAGCTACCAATGTTTCTTTCGTTTCTCTCTCTCTCTCTCTCTCTCTCTCTCTCTCTCTCTCTCTCCTCTCTGTCTCTCCCCTTCCCCACACCCCTCTCTAAAATCTACTTTTGAAAAAGAATAAAGACCAAGGTAAATGTTTAAAAACCCAGAACTAATAATGGTTGAGAGATACCCCACTTGGAGTAATGGGGCTGGGAATGAAAGACAGTCCTTTATTGTGAGTGGTGCTTACAATGTAAACCTCCTGTGAGATCTCTCCAGCCAGGGCCACCCTCTGTCCTTCTAGCCAATATCTCTTGCCCTCCACAGTGCCCTCTACCCACACTATCCCAGGCCTGCAAGGGAACTTCAATGGGTGGGAGACACTGCAGGGATTCTTTGACCAGAATAAGGGCCCATTGTCTGGCTCCAGCCTGGTGGGAGTGGGGTCTCACTCCCACAGCTGGGGCAGAAAGGGGGCAGAAGGATAAAAGGCAGACAAGAACTACTGAGGGAGAGAGAGAAGGAAGGGAATCTCAGGGCCTGTGGAAAGTTGAGCAGCAAGCATAATCTAGCCACCAGACCACTTGTGGGGGAAGAGTCATGGGCTATGGGCAGGACAACAGAGTTCTGCTGTTGATCCTGTCCCTGGTTCACCTGCATGGTCACTGCTCTCAATCCCTACTATAATACAAGCTTTAGCCTGTTTACAGAGCTGTGGGGAGGACTCAATGAAATGATGACTAGGAACCTGAAGAGGTTATCAAGCATGGTTTTTAAAGGAGAGATGTTGAAAGAGAATAATACTTCAGTAGTGACAATTATTTAAATAAACTTTTATTCAACAAGCATGTGCTGATCACCTACTGTGAGAAAGAGCATAGTGCAGTGGTTAAGAACATGGACCTAGAAGGCAGACTGCTTGACCCTTCCCAGCTGTGTGAGGTACTCATCCTTACTGAACTTTAGTTTTCCACATATGTAAAATAAGGATGAAGATAATAGGACCTGTGTCTTAGAATTCCTGTGAGGATGAAATGAATTAACACATGTAGACATGTGTAACCCATGGGACAGTGCATGGTACTGTTTAATAAGTACTAGTTCACACTGTATGCCAGGCTCTGGGGACATATTTTTCTCATAGTGGAGTATGGGAGTAAAAGAGCCAGAGCCAAATTATGCAATAACACATTTAAAGCTTATTTTTCTCAAATGTGAATGTCATGTAGGCTCACATACCATTCACTAAAGCATGTCTTATGACTAATGCATGGATGACAGGAAGACATACTTCCTCTAGACACAGAGGATGCAAGTCATGACACTACGAGTGTTTAATGCTTTGCAGCAAGGAGGCAAGTAAATGGGAGCAGTAAACAAATCACCCATGGGGCCAGCTCCAGGCTCTTTGACTTTTCCTGCCTAGCAATGTCTGAATGAGGCATGTCCACCCAAGGGTCTCTGGGAGAATATCTATGTTACAGACCAGTAAACTATGAAAAATAAAAGAAGGTTAGCATTTACTGAACCCTTACTACATCTGAGTGGGATGCTAAGCTTCATGACTATCCTATTAATAACTGCTTTTCCCCCATTTTGTAGATGAGAAAAGTGAGGTTCAGGGAGATAAAATGATCTGCCCAAGGAAATAGAAGGGGTGTATCTTAAAAATGGAAAAACCAATATCTTTAAATTGGGTTTCCCCAGAAGCAGACATTGAAATAATGATGTGAGTACAAATGGTCTATTTGAGAAATGAACACAGGAAGAACTAGTAGAGGAATGGAGGAAGTTGAAACAAAGAAATAAAAGGAAACCACCCTGGCTGGTATGACTCAGTGGTTAGAGCATTGGCCCATGGACCGAAGGGTCCCAGGTTTAATTCCTGGTCAAGGGCACTATCCCTGACCCTATTCTGGGCATGTACAGGAGGCAACCAATCAGTGTATCTCTCTCACAATGATGTTTCTCTCTCTCTCTCTCTCTCTCTCTCTCTCTCTCTCTCTCTCCTTCTCTTTTTCTCTCTCTTTCCCTCCCTCCCTCCCTTCCTTCCTTCCTCCCTCCCTCCCTTCCAGTCCCTCTAAAAATCAATGGGGAGAAAAAAAGAAATAAAATAAAACCAATTCAGTGTGCAATAATGAACAGGCTACTACTGTGAAAAATGGGGACTTGATCCTACTGGGGACCTCCAGGACACAGAATACAATACAGTTGTCCCATCAAAGGAATGAGGAAACCAAGGGTTGAGGGCTGCTTCTGTCACTTCCAGACTTTCCTGTGTGCCATCTGAGCAGAGAAAGCCCTCAGGCAGAAGATTCCAGGAGCTTGCAATAAGAAGCCATCAGGAATAGCTAAGGGGGCATGGGAAGTATACTATGGAATAGCATCTACTACAACCAAGATCCGAACCCAAGTTTTGTCTGGCTCTCAAGTCACATCATGCTGCCTCTAAGGTAACCTATTAGTCCTGTGGAAATTGCAATATGAAGACTCCTTTTTTTTTTTTTTTTTCATCCTCACTCGAAGACACTTCTGCACCCATCTTCAGATAGAGCGGGAGAGACAGAGAGAAACATCAATGCAAGATCAACTGGTTGCCACCCACAGGATCCCAACCTGGGCCGGAGACAAACTGCAACCAAGGTACATGCCGCTAGCGGGAAACAAACCTAGGACTCTCCAGTCCGCAGGCTGGCACTCTAACCACTGAGCAAAACCAGCCAGGGCTGGAGACTCCTTTCTTAACAAAGAGCCTCTTACTCCAATTCACCCCACTCCATGCTCCAGATCTTATGAGATACCAAGTCCCTGTATATTTGATGCACAGCACTGAGTATACAGTGACACACATTCTTGCCGGCAGAGCCATGGCAATGTCAGAGCACCTTGTCCAGTCCACTCAATACCCAGGTGTGCAGCCCTGGCCAGTTTGGCTCAGCGGTTAGAGCGTGGGCCTGTGGTCCAGAGAGACCCAGGTTTGGTTCCCGCTAAGGGCACGTAACTCGGTTGCAGTTTGTCCCTGGCCCTGGTTGGGTTGTGCGGGTGGCAACCACTTGATGTGTCCCTTTCACATCGATGTTTCTCTCTCTCTCTCTCTTCCTCCCACTCTATCTGAACAAAAAATGGAAAAATGTCCTCGGGTGAGGATGAAAAAATAAATTAAAAAATACCAAGGTGTGCAATCTTGAAACTCTCAGAGTTCACTCTAGACCTTCCTATAGAGAGCCTCTACCCTACATACCTCTTTCCCACCACCACACTACCTGTGTTTGTCTTCTCTCCCCAACCAGAAAGGAAGTTCCCCAAGGCAAGCCACAAAATGGGAGAAAATATTTGCAAATCATATATCTGATCAGAGACTTGCATCTAGAATATATAAAGAATTCTTACAACAAAATAATAAGACAAATAACCCACTTTAAAAATGGGCAAACTGCCCCGGCTGGTTTGGTTCACTGGATCAACCCGCAGACCAAAGAGTCTCGGGTTTAATTCTGGTCAGGGGCATTTACTTCAATTGCGGTTCGATCCCTGGCCCTGGTTAGGGTTGTGCAGTAGATAGCCAATCGATGTATCTCTCTCGCATTGATCTCTCTCTCTTTCTCTTTCTTTCTCTCTCTCTCTCTCTCTCTACTTCCCTCCCTCCCACTCTGTCTGAAAAATCAATGGTAAAATATCCTCAGGTGAGGATTAAGATGGTCAAGATGGTGGCATAGGTAAACGTGGTATCGCGTCCTCCCACAACCACATCAAAGTTACAACTAAACTACAGAGCAACCATCATTCAAAACCACCTGAAATCAAGCTGAATGGAAGTCCTACAACTACAGACTTAAAGAAGCAGCCACATCAAGACTGGTAGAAGCGGGGGAGGCGGACAGGCTGGTCCCACACCCACGTGGGGCAGATAAAAATCAGGAGGATACGTCGGCCAGGAAGGTCCTCCCTGAGAACTGAGGGGTCCCTGTCCCACACCAGGTACTCCGCTCAGGGTTCTGGTGCCAGGAAGAGAAGTCCTCATAACTTCTGGCTGGAAAAACCAGAGAGAACTGAGGCTCAGAGAGGCTGAGGCAACTGGAGCCCAGGCAGCTCCTCTTAAAGGGCCCACACACGAACTT